AGAGCAGAAGGACTTGGGGAAGGAGCTTATGTTTCAGAATGGAAGAGCCCTAAAGTAAGTAGCAGCAGTTAAGAGTTACATGTAGATGTGAAGAATTTTAAAAGTGAAAGGAAAACTGCAAATTAAGGAACATGAAAGGAAAACAGAAAAGCAAACTTAACTTAGTTACATGCCAAAGGAGTTCTTTTTTTTTTTTTTTAGTAACCCTTCCTCACCCACCGTGATAAAAATAGTTGCTCCCAATTTGAGACACACCCATGTGACTGGCTCAGGGATGCTCCGGACTACTGTGTGAGCAGGACTGTAGGGGTCTGAGCACTTTACTTTCTGTGCTAAGCTCGGCGAATAAACACTATCGTTCTTTTCCTAAAAGTCAAAAGCTTTTTTTAAAGCTTTTTAAATGAAAGTCCCTCTCCTAAATTAACTGTAGTTTGAAATTTGTCTGCATTCTGAGATCTTTTCCCACCTCCAGCTTAATTCAAATGAAAACGGTAACATCTCCAAACAGTAGCAGATAAAATACACTAAATCCAAACTATTGCCTTTTGACATTTCGCGTTCGTTTGCACATACATGCCATCAACTGCAGGGGGGGCTAATGCCCCGTTCCTCAGGCCTGGCAGAGAAGGCTGCGTAGCTGGGATTGTAATTTCTCCCTGTGCCTGTTAAGTGTGACTATTGATAAGTGCTGAGCTCATCCCTTCCCCTAGATTGAAGCCTCTAAAACATATATGAGGTGGAACTGGGCTTTACAACAAAGACAAATCTAGTTTCCACTTTTAAAATAGTCTCTCGGGGCTCCCAAAAGGTAGAGGATATATTTTAAAAGGAAAGAACGGTGTTTTGTATCAAAACATTATTTTTGGAGTCATAACCAATTAGGAATCTAATCCCTGCAACCATAAATACCCCCCTTTTCATAGAATACAGTGACCAGAGGCCACACTGGGGTATGAAGGACTTAATATGAAGAGAATTTTTATGGTTAATAAATGCCACAATCTCAGCCTCTTTTCTTCTAGATGTTGGAAGAGGATAATTAAATGAATGTTTAGATCCCAAATAAAAAGTTAATATTCACGTTAAATAAAAATATAAGTGAATTTGTTTTATAGAATGTGAATTTGTTTCAGAATGGGTCCAAAATACTTCATTAAGCATTTCTGGATAAAAACATGTAACGCTCTCTATAAGCTTTTGTTAATAAATTAAATACCATCTTTCTATAAATATACTTTGCATTAAGCTTTCCTGTTAGAGTTTTCAGGAAACATTTTAAATGAAGTAGCTGAGCATATCCCGTTTGAGATGAATGAGATCATTAGGAAACACTTATATCTGAAATAAGCACTGAGATCATTCTGCATACAACCCAAGGGCCCTAATTTTTTAAATATTTCAAACAATGTGCTCCTTTTAAATCATTAGACTTAGAGACATTTAAGGAACTGATTCAATTAACCCGGAAGAGAGAAATGCTATAATGTGTGATTTATTTTTGCAGATAAATTAAAATGCAAGTGTATCTGTTAGAAAAGGTGGGCTGTCAGCATGGTTAGTAATGGGAACAGGAAGGCAATTAAGCAGGGCCACCTGAGGCTGAAATAGCCCCTGAACATGGAAGCTTGAAGTGCAAGCTGGAGATTGTTGTTGTCAAAACCAAAAGTGTTCCTTGGTTAGGAGGAACAGTTTCCTTCATTGATTTTCTAAAGCATGTTTCTCAATTTGTTCCTCCATAACTACAAACTAAAAATAAGCCCAGACTGCTATGGTTTCATACCTTAAAAAAAAAAAAAAAATCTAACTTCACATAAAGTGGTTGCCTTAAAATTACAACTTTGCATTCTATTATTTAGGTGAGGAAATATGAGGCAAGAATTTATTTTTCTCCTCTACAACCCCAGGATATTGGCTCCACCAGGCCTAATAAATTATTTTCACAAGGAAATAAAGCATGCTGTAGCTTGTGTTCCCTTGTGCAAGGGGTTTTATAAACAAGATGTATCCTAAACAATAAATAATCACAGATGGGAGAGGGTGGGAGAAGGAAACATTATAAGGGTGAGGGAAAAAATGTTCCTTCACCAAATCATGGAAAAGAGTGAATTTCAAAATGCTAGAAATCTGAAGGGAAGATGGCCACTTTAACCATGGTGAAATCTATAGAGGAAATGAGAAAATAATAGAAAAGAGTAAAAGAAAGAGAAGCAAAGGAAAGACTAAGAATGTGAGAAGAGAGGTACCAGCAGCCTTACAAGTAAGTAGCAGCAGAATAAGTCCTACGAACAGAAACGAAGAAAACGTACACTGAAGAAGTCGTTATAATTCAATGTTCTTTCCTGCTCAATCTTGTCCCCCATCTTGAATTGGACCAAAAAAAAAAAAATGCACTAGACCTTTTGGAGCTGTTTATGAGGAGAAGCTCAGAGATTCTCATTTCCTTGCTTGGAGAAGAGGGAATCTCTTTACTTGCTCTATGTCACTGTGTAACAGATGCTAATGATTCCATCATACTGCTCCTTCCCTGGGAGAAGATTTTCCAGCCATGGTGCTAGAACTGGAGTTAGCAAGCAAGAGGTGGGTCAAGCGGGGCCAACTCTGTCTTATGCTTGGAGAAGAATACAGCTCAATGGTTTCCAGTTTGTGAGAGCCTTTCCTGACAATATTCATTTATCAGTCTAATTTACACAGATTTCCTTTTTCTTCTGCTCAGAATTTTTTGATGGCTTCTCAGTGTCTCAAGAATTAAGGTCCTTACAACCTGAGTCAACTGCCTTGCCAGGCTCATCCTCTGCCCCTCCAGTTACATTAATGCCCCCCCCCCCTGCATTTCTAGGCCTTTGCTCTTGTGGACTCTACTGCCTACTCTGTCTTCTCCTCCCCTGTGGACGCCTCACCTCTCCTTTGAAGGCCCAGCTCAAAGGCCAGCGATCCCAGAGAGCTGGCCTCTTCCTTAGTGGAGCCCCAGATCATTCGGTTGATGCTCTGTTGCAACTTTTCCCCACAGCCCCTCCTAGTCAGCCATCTATCTCCCTGTGGGGAGAGGATTCCAGCTCACTGATGGTAAGGGCTATCCACCTTGTTTGTAACTCAGCCTCCAGTACTGCGCCTTGCAAAACATGTTGGCAGAATTGCTCCCAGAGCGCCAGTGATTCTCCCTTGCTACTCTCTTCTCCCTCTCTCCCCAACTAACTCTGCGACTTTATTTTTTTTATCCCTCAATTATATCTCCAACTCTCCAAGGCTTTAAAAAACAAAAAACAAAAAACCACCCCTATCTCATGAACATAGACTGTTACTAGAACAATTTTTGGCCACAGTGATCCCTTTGTGAATTGAGATCTTTCTATTGCCTAAAGCTGAGGTAATTCACTCAGGTAACCTTGGGTAGTTACTTTGGGTTCTGAGAGGCTGGAATTTACTTCTACAGACCTAACACTAAAATGCAATACTTCTGTCTATTTCTACTGTTGGTTGGTATCCAGGCACTGAGTGTTAGGCATTTTTAGTCAGGGAAAGTATCTACGGCAAGATCTCTTCTGGCTGATCCTTAACATCCGAAGAAATGAGGTTGTAAGGGCTCTGAATACGACATTAAAGATAAGAATCAGGAGGCGCCTGTCAATCTTACCCTGGGAGAGAGCGGGAGACATGACCTATTAAGGTCTTTTTTTTTTTAAGATTTTATTTATTTATTTGAGAGAAAGAGAATGAGAGATAGACGGCACAAGAGGGAATAGGGTCAGAGGGAGAAGCAGACTTGGTTAAGCGACTGCCTTCGGCTCGGGTCATGATCCTGGAGTCCCAGGATTGAGTCCCGCATCGGGCTCCCTGCTCAGCGGGTAGTCTGCTTCTCCCTCTATTAAGGTCTTTTTATCTGAAGCCCAGATTTGGCCCACCCAGCCCAAAGTCCATTCTGGGATGGGATCTCTGAGTCCTGGACATAAACGTATATGCTGACCTCTAGGATCCCACAAACTAGAAGAAGGCCTGTTGGAGCTACGTAAACACCTAAATTAGGGAGGTATAGATATGGAAGCTCAACCCCAAAGGGGCAGCCATGTGAGGAACCCCATGTCTGGCGGGATGATAGCTGTTGGCGTGAAAAACAACAGAAAAGCTAAGCAAGTATATCGTTGTGTTATTTGGGGGCGAGGAGTTAAGCGCTGGAACGGGGGATCCAAGAAGAAAGAGGGGCCAATGAAACATGCAACTCCCAAGAGCCTATAAGGACCAACACCCCACATCCTGGGGCGCAGCCGGTCCCAGCCAGCAGAGGGCAGCAGTTGGGCGGGAGAAGCCGGGCGAGGGCGGCCTTGCGGGCATACTTAATTTTGAGTGTGGGGCGAAGGACTCGCACTCATCACTACCGGTTCCGGACCCTGCGGCCGGGGGCGCATCTCGGGCTCCGTTGTGGGCAGTGGATGTGTGCGGGGCCGCCTGCCCGAGAAAGGAGAGCAGAGGGCGCCCCCTGGGTCTCCGGGGAAGAGGGGGAACGCGCTTTCGGCGGGCCCCGGAACGCGGGTGGGAGGGGCTCCAGACGCGCCCCACCAGTGGCCGAGCCCGCTCCGTTCCCCAAGAGCCGCCCTCCGCGCCCCGGAAGCTTCCTCCGCCGACACCGCGTTAGCCCCCGCTCGCTCTGCCTCTGGGGCCACGACCCGCGCGCGACATTCGCCAAGGTGCGCCCCCGGCCGCCGCCGCCCGTGCCGGAGCGAGGCCGGTCCCGCTCTCCGAGCCCCACGCGGCCGCGGCGCGGGTTCCGGCTCTGGCCGTCGAGGCCTGCGGCGGCAGCGGAGTGGGCGTGGGTCTGTGCCCGCAGCCGGGTTCTCGCCGGCCGCACTTGACCGTGGGCGCCGAGCGAACGGGACGCGCGGCGCGGGCGGCGGGCTTTATGTAAATCGGGGCTGCGCCCAGGCGTCCTAGGTAGGATGGACCAGCCCCCCGCGCCTCGGCCCTCACGTCCAATAAGAAAAGCCCCAGCTTGACACCTGCCTATATACAGGCGAGCGCGCCCCCGGCCCGCGGACCGCGCGCACAGCCCGCACAGCCCACGCCGCGGGCGAGCGAGACCTCGGCCCGCCACCATGACTTCCAGTAAGATCGAGATGCCCGGCGAGGTGAAGGCCGACCCCGCCGCCCTCATGGCGTCCCTGCACCTCTTGCCATCGCCCACGCCCAACCTCGAAATAAAGTACACCAAGGTAAGCGGCCGGCGAGGACCTGCCGTCCGCCGAGGCTTTCTAGAACCTTCCTTTCTGTCCATGATCTGTTAGGGGGCGAGGGTGGCGTGTCGGCCTCAGGGGCCGGGATGGCCGGGGCCAGCCTGTCATCCCCGCGCGGCAGAGGGACGCCCCGTCCTCGGGCTTAGGGCATCCGAAGTCCTGCCGTGGTCTCGGGACGCCTTTAGGGACTCTCCCCAACCTGAAGCGCGGCGCCGGGAGTCGCGGTCAACGGCTCCTTACCCTTGCCGCGTCTGCCGCTGCCTTCTGATCCGATTCTCGCGGTCCGGACTGCCGCGGGCAAGGCGTCGGCACCGCTTCGACTCCTCAAGTGGGGAGGAAGGGTTCCCGCCAGGTGGGCCATGCAGCCCGGCCGCTTTCCCCGGCGGCCCTGCGCCTTCAGGCGCCGCTGGGCTGTGCGTCCCGCTCGGTGCTCGGAAGCCCGCGCGTGCGGAGCGGCTTTCCAGGAGGAACTGACCCGGCGCGCGGCGCTCCGGCCGCCTTTGCAGATGGCGCGGAAACCTGGCTGCAGGCGACTCGCAGCTCCAGTATCGGCATTTCGTTCGAATGTTGTAGGCAGTGGCAGCTCTCCTGGAAAACTCGGAAACTCTCTAGATGTGTGCAAATTAACGGGCTCGCTCTCGGACGGAAAAGAAATTATTTTTATAACGAACTCTGACATCTTGGGTTTGCCAAGCAGGATTTTTTGTTGCTGTTGCACCACATAAAAAAGAATATGCGTTCGCTACCTTAATGTAAATTGAATTTACTTTCTATGAATTCCACATAGAAAAAATATATTAATTAGACACACGGGGGTGATTATAACGTTATAGCATGGGGGGGAGGAGGGAGATAGATGGGATTTAAAGTCATGTTCCCTGGGGTTCATTTTACAGTTCTCTTGTTTGATTTTCTATCCTTTCAGTTGATTTCTACCCCAAATTTCTCCCGATTTAACTTAAACACACACTGCGCGCACACAATAGGGTTAAAGTTGTTTTCCATCATGCTTATTACAAGATAAACTAATTTGTTGAGAAGTAAATTGTTTGGTTTTGGTTTAATGTTTGAAAGAAATTTTTTAAAAATCCGAATATTGAAATTTTACTTGTGTTAGTTTTAGAATACAAACCAAGGTGATTCGTGTTCTGAACGCGCGGTTTATGATGGGTTTGATGTACCTGTTACCTTTTTTAGATGGTGTGACAAATTTTTGAAAGCCATTTTAATGGGAGGTCGTTAGTGGTTACAGCCATTTAGACAGTTTGCATAACAATAGTGCCAATGTGGGGGCACATATCTGGGTTTGGGAACGAGCCGGGAAAGTATACAGCATAAACGTTTTGTTTTATGAGGGTCCCTAACCTCTTCAGCCTCTCTTTAAAGGTCTTAAGTTCCAAGATCTCCCCGTGAGACAGGAGCGAACTCTCATATTTGGGAGGGTTCGAGTTTAGTCTTAACTTTTGTTTGGATTTTCCTCCCAGCCCCGGAAAGGAGTTTTAGGTATGCAGTAGGTATCCCAGAATTTAATTTGGAAGCTCTTCCAGTTTTCTTTTTTTCCAACTACCCCCGCTTTCTTTTTCTCTTGTTCTCCCCCAGTAGGAAAGACAACTGATTTATAGCTAATTGAAGCCTTTAATGTGGAGTCTTTTAGCTCCGGAGAGACTTTTATCCAGTATCCACTTTCCCACTTATTACAAAGAAAAACAATCAGAAATGAAATAATGGACTGTAACTTGACTCTTTAATTTGTGGGGAGGAGGCACCTTATTTTTGGCTTGACAAACAACCCTCATAAACATTGAGTAATGCTAATCTAAAGGCAAGCTCTTTTCACAGAACCTTGTTAAATCAGGTATCTGTGAACATTCCCAGCAGCTTTCCTCCTCAGCTTTTTAGCAAGGCTTCTAAATTTTCTGAGACAAGCGTCATGGGCGAGCAACTTTTTTAACGTGAAGAGCAGTGCTGTGTTGGTAGCTGAGGGTAGTGGGTAATGATTTTTTACTTAAAAGGAAAGTAAGATTAGTGGAAAGTTTTCTAAAAATTCACTTATGATCAGAAGTGAGGGGTATTGGTAATTTGAAACAGAATGAAAAAGGTAGAATGGACAGTTTGTCATTTAGAACAGTAGTACCACATTCATCAGGAATTTTAATTTAAAAGAGTAATGGCTTAGAAATTACTATGCTGGAGGGCTTGTTGAATAACACTTAAGAAACAAGTACGGTGTTTGTGTCACAAAGTGGTACAAGATAAACAAGACGGATCCTTCATCATTTTTGTCTTCTTAAACGAATACATCTTTAGGGAAGGATATTACGACAGGATTTTTAAATGTGTTTTGGGGACCAGCATGAAGTCACTACCTACGTGTAAATGGTCAGATTATGAGAATTTCAAGTAGCATGCATTCAGAAAAGTTTGCATTTGTGATCTTGTATTGTCCTGTATTTTTTCGCCATTCTTCTTCTAAAAGTATTTGGCACTTTTTATAAATGGTGGAATGGGGGAGATCATCAGAAATAAAAGTTACACCTTTGTCAAAGGTCCAGTGAAAATACTCCAGAATTACGGTTTGGTCTCCGTGGATGCTGAAAGGGCTAACGCTGTGCTCCTATATTGACTTTCACGCAGTTATATTTAGTTTTAAAAAGAAGCCCACCTCTCTGAAGTTCTAATACCCATTTTAGACTAAGGATCAATGGCAGTACCATCTTTGGTATGTCTAATTTTATTTCCTTAATGCAGTGAACTAGATCCCAAGTTTTAAAAATGATTGCTTACTAAGGAATATGGTGGTTGTTGTTCTTTTCAAAGACTGCGTTAGTCAAGAAAGAGCGCTAAGTCCACCCACAAGAAGTAGCAGGGGGACCACTTTGAGGCCAAGAGAATGCGTGCTCTCTTGCTTGTATCCGGAGAAGACTGCTTATCAGCGATCGCAGGAACCTGATTGCTTTTAGCTGTGTTTTTATGAATTAAAGCTTTTCAGAATTGTTTCTTTTTCATCAGTCTGGTTTTTAAACCTTCGTATGGCTGAATATATTGTAGGAGTTCACACATTGTAAAATCAAGGCTGGCACTTTACTGACTGCCCCTAACTGCAGGGGAGATTTCTTCCAGATTCCCAGAAGGTCTTTGGAATCTTTCGGTCTTTATCTCACCCTACCTTCTCTATTGTCTCTATCATCTCTTCTGGCTCCAGTGCTTCCTCCCCGTTGCACACACACACACACACACACACACACACGCATTGTGCGGTCTCTGTGTTGAGCATTTTTTCAGTGACCCTTTATGCCTATAACTAACAGTAACATAAGGGGTTGTGTTTTCTTCCAGCATCTGATGCTGTGGGGAGTGAGAACAGAGGGAGGAAGGGAACATTTATGGAGTACTGACTTACTAAACTAGAAGAGAAAAAATAAAAGACAGTCAACTGAAAATCAGAGCTAATGTGTGTTGGGTAACTACTATTTACTTATTTATTCATTTAAAAACTTTTTATTGAACATCTGCTGTTTTCTGGGGTCAACTTCAATTCGGTCCAAAGGCTGTTTGAGTGGCCATCGAGTATTGTTAGTATTCCTAACAACAGTGCTCTCCATTATGCTAGTTGGGCATTTGCCTTCCAGGAGCTTAGGGTCTTATTAGAAAGATTGAGTGCCAAAAATTAATCGTCAGCATGGCAATAGTTCAGTCAATCAATGTAATAACAATGGTGATAATAAAATATATAGTGCCACTTAAATTGTTTATGGGGCCTAATGGTTTATTTAGCACTTTCTTGTGTATCTTATTTGATCCTTGCAAAACCTTTTGAAGGAGAGAGAATAGGAAGAGTTAGAAATAATTGATAAGGAAGACCTTGGCCTTGACCTTTAAAAAACTGCTGGAACTTGCTTCACCATATACTTTGTTTTTCCTAACAGTCACATAGTTGTTTTTTATTTTTGTTTTTGGATTTTTGTTTTGTTTTGGCTTGGTTTTTTGAGAGAAAGAGTTTAAGTCTTTATTCTTTGTGTTGCTTCTGTTGCAAACATGGGGCGAACATGTACTGGTCCACTCCTCTTAAGAAGCTGCTACATCTGTGGCTTTTGATTCCCTGACTTTAAATTACTATTTCTGATGTGCCTTTGAGTTGTTGTTGTTAGGTCTAGGGCAAGATTCTTGCCTATCCCAGGGATCATTTCTTAAAAGATGGTGTGGGTCTAGTTGTTTCCAAACCTCTAATCAAGATTGTCTTGATCATAAATTGTGAATCACACTTCCATGTTTATAGGAACCTCAGATTTTCAAAGAATACATTTTCATAATTGTATAGCTTTTTGATGTTTGTGTCATCTCCATTTAAACTAGAGAAGCTAACCATTTTAATTGTAGGGCTTGATTTGGATAACTCTCCTAGGGTCCTGATGCCTTCTACTGTACATACAGGCTTATGTTACTTTATGGAATCATCATTTACTAAAACAATTCTGTCTTCCACTTCTATAAAATGAGGAATGATAGTTTTTCTATTTGAGGTTAGAAGATTCTCCGAGGAGCCTGTTCTGTGAGGTCTGATTTCCTTGTAGCAAGGCTGAAGAGAAGCCAGGCATGCGTAATACGTTCTCTGTTGCATTACCCAAGCCCGGTGATCAAACCGTGACCAGATCAAAAACATCTCAAATACCAGTGTATGCAGTTCTGTCTCAAGTCTTTCTCCACTGGATAATGAAATAGAAATACTGATGTATATTTTTGTCTTTTTTAGTTATCTTAGTAACAGCTTGCAGTAGTTAGCAAACTACAGATGATCTGCCTGATTTTGTAAATAAAGATTTATTGGAACACAGCCACACCCATTCAACTGCATATTAGCTGGAGCTACTTTTGGACTACAGTGGTAAAGTCAAGTAGTCGCAACAGAAATCATATGGCCTACAATTTAGAAAAAGCTTGGTCGGACATGTCCTTATTAGCTGTGTGGGCAGTCAACATGT